CCGTACTGTACTGTACCGAACCTTACCACTCAGTGGAAACGAGCCATTAGTCCCTAAAGATAACAGTACCCCAACTGGTTTAAACAGCACCTGGTCATGAGAACTAAAGCCATGTAAACATTCACACTCTCAGAGTAAGAAAATCAGAGACTTGCAGAAACCTTCACTGGAAACCCTAGTTAATCTAATCATTAAACTGCTGCCATCAGGTTCACATTGAATACCCAATACAATGTCCTTCACCTTAGTTTTCATGTGATGTTATGTCAGGATGTAGGATCAGCAGATCTTAAAGGGGTCATATGATGCTGCTAAAAAGAACATTATTTTGTGTATTTGGTGTAATGAAATGTGTTTCCGTTTTAGGTAGGCGTGGCTGACTCTTAACTTTTATAAAGAATATCTCTTTGGATTTGAGACTTTAGTCTTTGCAACTTTACAGATCTTCTTTATGCACCAAGAGCTTGTAACACTCCAAAGAGAAAGGAAAAATTGAAATCGCATCATATGACCCCTTTAAACAGATTCTTAAATTTGTAATTCCACACCCTCCAGGAACCGCATTGGACACCCCTGCCTTACAGCATCAATTACACACCAAACGCACATTACTTGCAAGTTTGTAGTTGATAATTTGTAAGTAGGACTTCATGGGAGGATTTGAAGACAGCATATAAAGTCTGTAATTCAGGGGTGTCCAGACCTGGTCCTGGAGGGCTATTATCTAGCAGAGCTTGACTACAACCCTAATCAGGCACACTTGAAATGAAGTTCCCAATGCAGGTTTGGCAGGAGCCTAATCATCCAGTCCTGTCAATCATCGCTACAATGGTATATAAGCAGCAGTCATTGCTCCATTCTAGAGACAATTCTTCCGGAACCCTCCACCTCCCCTTCTCCTCTAATTTCTCTCTTTTTCCTCCACACTGTACCATCATAGGGGGGTTCTTACCCTGAGCTCGAGCTGAGCCTCGGGTTCGAGCCTCCTTCGCGGACAGCAAGCCAAGTTTAATTACCATTATCTGGCAGGATTGAATGGGCAGGCAAACTCTTGAACCAGCTATTCAAGGTTTTCATGATCAATAGAAGCTTGCAGGCAGGTGAACTGGAGCTAAACTCTTTAGGAAAGTGGCCCTCCAGGAGCAGGATTGGACCCCCCTGCAGTAAAGCATTAGTCTGCAGGATAATGCTAGTGCCACTAGATTCAGTGCATCGAAGAGTTCCTGTGTTCATGTGCTGGAGGGAAATAATGATTTACAGTAACTGAGTATTCTCTTGATGGCAGATATAGGCTGAGCGCCAGTCATGTGGCAGTTGGACAAATTTCAGTATACTCCAGTCCTGAATGTATATTGAAAAGGCCTTCTCACTGCAGTGACTTACAAAATAGTGGACTCCATGCTTTGCTTGAAAAAGTGACCAGAAACTCTTCCAGAAGTGTCACTGCACACATTGTGTTCTCTGTGTTTTACTATGTTCTGGATACATCCAAGGGTTCAGGGTTTGGTTGGTTAGCCTCAACTGCCATTGACAGTAGCAGATGTTTTTTTCCAGGTGTTATTTCGATTTGTTCACTAAACATAGTTGATTTTAGTTGTAGCATGGGAGAGAGAGCAAGAGCATTTATCATCTGCTGCCGGTCCAGACCATGCTGGAATGAATGAATCATGAATGTGGGGATGGTTCTGTCTCCTCAGCATTGAGATTGTGCTGAGTTCTTAAACCATAGTGGGTTGTAGCACATTTTTTTCTCCTTCATGATGGCTAATGTGCTGTGCTAGTAAGTACTCAAGGGTATTCCTGGCATGGTCCAAGTGTTACATGCCTATGGGCATTGCAGCCTTTTTTCTCATGTTTATTCCTTTCTATATCTCCCCTCTTTGACATCCACCTACACTTGTGTGTTTTTTTAAATGCCAGCATGACGCTGCTTTTTAAATTTAGACCAGCAAGTGCAGTGTGCTCTATACACTTCAAGTTTGCACTTGTTCAAAAGGTTATACCGTGGACAAGGATATTTTATATGAATGTCAAAAGGGATAAGTTGGTTGTCACATGATCTGTCTGTATGTCTGTTTCTTCATCTTTCTACCTGGGACAAGTTGTCACATTGTATGTTACACAATTCAATATCTGTCTATCCTTTGCTATATATAGAACAGTCTGTGGAGAGCGATGAAGAAGATAACCTGTCTCGAGTGATGAGGCACAGAGCCACCATCCCATGGAGATCCTGTGGGACGTACCTGAGCTCAGCAGGCCTTCTGCTGCTTCTCCTGCTCCTGCTGTCCCAGCTCCTCAAACACTCTCTTTTGGTGGCCATCGACTACTGGCTCGCTCACTGGACGTCCAAAGTCATCACAGCCAAAATCGATGCAGCTGCACACAACTGCTCCCTAGTGCAGGTAAAGATAGCAGATCTTATGTGTAAACTCAATTTTTACACTTTCTGAAGAATGTTATGTGGTTTTTTACAAGCCTCTATGATATTCTGGTCAAATTTGTTTAAAAGTGAACATCTGACACATGCCTTGATTTCTACTTTGAAAAGTCTGTGCCCTCTTGAATGATTTAGGCTCAGAATGTTTAAGATTTACATAATTTATGGTTTGCACCTGCTGAAGTGGCACAGTTCCTCAACCTTGGACAGCTTAGATGCATGATTTCATTGGCTGCTTGTGTTATTAAAATTCTCCATGATAAATTTGCCAAATTTGTAATGTCCTACTGACGTTTTATATGTCCATGATGCACATAAATGCTGAGAATAGCAAACTAGAAAAAGACAAGAGAAGGTGTTTAAGAACCAGAAACAGACTTCTCACTTTATTAATAGACCACCGCTGTCACTGAGGAAGAGCATGTTGTGGTGGGCTTAGCCTGGAGCTAGCATGTGCTCCGACAGCTCAGATAACACAGTAAGGCTAGACTCCAGTTGTTCAGGGTTAGAGGAGAGGACGTTTATCTAATAAACCTCAGCTTGACTCAGTCAGATGGTGAAAATTGTGCTGCTTAGTGGCCGTTTATACAACAACGTTTTCAGCCAAAAACAGGAAACTTTTTATGCGTTTGGGGACTGAAAACGCGTTTCAAAGTGCAAGTTTTTGAAAACGGCACCGTTATCGTTTCCGTGTAAACAACCAATACGAGAATCTTTGAAAACGGTGATGTCATGCGCGTACATAGTATGTGTTAGGTATGTAGACGTGCGCAGTACGTGTCGATTTTAAAGGCAAGCGCGAACAAACATACACAACAATGGCAGAGTACATGGTACTGTTGTTGTTGCTCAAGAGTTTGCTAATGCTTCTTCAGCAAAGCTGAAGCCAACAGCAGAGACGCATCATATACATCATATAATCGTCACTTCCCTACAGGTACTGTTTACTAACAAGGTGACAGCGCCAACTACTGGCCTGGCATACGTAATACAGCGTTTTTGGACGTTTTCACGGATATGTGTAAACGCGAATCATTTTGAAAACGTTGTCGTGTATACGTGAAACTTTTTAAAAATGCAAGGGAAAAACTTTTCCGTTTTTGACTACACCGTTGTCATGTAAACGTAGAAGAAGCCAATGGTTCTCCAGATCTTTCAGGCCTTTCTCAGGCCGTTCTGTGCGATAAGTGCAAAAAATCTATTTTTTTCCACTTCACATGCTTCTCTTGAGCAGAGACACTACAGGACATCTTATCAACCTATTTTTTTGTATTTTCACAAATCAGTCATTCTGATCAATACTTAATTCTCCATCACTGCTTAGGAAATTGCTCAGCACATTTTAAACAGCCATGCAGAATGCAAAGTAGACTTAAACCTGATTTAGATTTTCCACTAACTATTTCTTATGTTTTTAAGTAAATTCTCATTATTGATGTTCTCTGCTGGAGTTCTACGGTAATGAATAGCCTTTTAGTCATCTTGATTGCTCGATTGATTTTCTTTCAGTTTGTTATTTCTACACGATTAGCATTTGGAGGGTTGCAGTACATCAGTCAGAAAATCCTCAGTCTTGATGTGTAATTTAATTCATTCTGTGAGTATAATAATAATAATGACAATGGATACTGTACGTACACACTGCAGCAAAATTCAGGTGTCAATTCACCTTTTAATGCTTAATTCTGTTGTGTACACATCAGGCAGTAATTTACAGGAGTGATAATCGCATTCTACAAACGAATTGACTCCAGAAAAACTCTGGTAGTGGCAACCGTACTTCTACAGTGTTTACAGAACATAACTGAACAGCTGGTTGTTAATGGCATATTTAAATGTGTATCAGAGTTGTGTCTTGTTTTGACTCAGTGTTGCCAGATCTTACTATAAAAAAGTGAACTCCACCTGCCTACTTTATTAACTTTTTACTAAATGTATCAGCTGAGTCCAAATAACAAGCCCAAAGATGCTTAATAAGCATTACTTGTAATAAGTGGACATGACAACTATTCAAGATAGCGCTTTGCGAAGTAGCCTTCCAAACATAAACAAAACACAACGGCTCTGTTGACAGTGCTTTAGTTAAAGGTCCCATGGCATGAAAATTTCACTTTATGAGGTGTTTTAACATTAATATGAGTTCCCCTAGCCTGCCTATGGTCCCCCAGTGGCTAGAAATGGCGATAGGTGTAAACCGAGCCCTGGGTATCCTGCTTTGCCTTTGAGAAAATGAAAGCTCAGATGGCCCAATCTGGAATCTTCCCTTTATGTCGTCATACGGGGAAAGGTTACCTCCCCTTTCTCTGCTTTGCCCGCCCAGAGAATTTGGCCCGCCCATGAGAAAATGAGCTACTACCGTGCGAGGCGAGCGCAATATTTTTTTTTCCTCGAGAGACATCATGGCTTGCAAACGAGCCGAAGCATGGCAGTTGCCCCGCCTCTCTCCTCCTCATTAGCATTTAAAGCTACAGACACAGAAATGGCACGTCCTAAGGAAAGCTCATTGTGGGACTGGCTCGTAGTGGCTGAAATTCTGCACCAAGGCTGAATTTCGGGAAAGAGACTTCGGATACAGTACTAGGGACCACTTAGGCCTATATAAAAGCATCCAAAAAGCAGCATGTCATGGGACCTTTAAAATCACTGAACATAACACATCTTTGATTGCTGTAATATTACTTTGGTTAAAAATAGTGGATACTAAACGTCCATGGTGTCAATCACAGCAGTTTCGAGAATGAAGAATTCTGTTCCATACACACACACAAATCGATAATTTAAAGGATTCACTCCTGTATTTAAATGCGGTTGTTGTTCCTAATTGTTTCCATGGCCTTTAAAGAGATTGGGCATTTGAAGTGGCAGGCGAAAAAACTGCAGTGTGCGCTTATAATAAACAGAATATTATCGTCCATCGGTGTAGATGCTAATATAGTTATTTTTATTTTTGTAGTTATTGTTCTTGCAGCACTGCAACACTAATATACTGGTAAATAAATGCTTAAAATATGCAGCTGTTGTTCTATACAAAGCATAACCATGACAAAACATGCTAACTTATGATTAGATTGATAGAATCACTTACCTGTGCACAGATACATTCTGCCTTCAACTCATGTGGATACCAAGTGAGTTGGTGTTTTTTAAGTCTCATCATTGTTCTCCCTACAGGACATTGGTTTCAGTCACTCGTCATACCTGCTGGTGTTCAGTCTGCTGTGCTGTCTGGGTATCGTACTCTGTCTGGTCACATCAGTGGCTGTGGAGTGGACAGGCCTGCGGGTGGCCAAAGAACTCCACCACAGTCTGCTCAATAATATTATCCTTGCCCCAATGAGGTACATCTAAACCTTCATATTCCTGAAGTGTTCATGTGGAATGTTATTGTATATTGTGTGTAATTTGTCATGACTGAGTCACGGTGTGTGTGGGTATGTATTAGATGAGAGGACATGAGGTAGGTGGCCAGGAGCATAGTAGAGAGAGAGTTTATGTGTGGCTTGTTTTATTGCTCTTTGCCTGTGTACCCTCTCTATGGCTCATTTAGCTAAGCAAACATTGTTAGGGGGATTTAGCGTCTTAGAAACACTCTAAGTGCTCATGGAAGGACATCTGGACAGATAGGGTGATATGCTAATCTGTAACTCCCTGCTTCCCAAACTGGGCTTCATGAGTTGGTGAAAAGCTAGTTAATTAAATAACAATAGTTAAATATAATAATAGCATTTGATTTAATAATAAAAATAGTTAAATATACATAAACATTTTAAAATAAATAAGCTAAATGTATTCTTTTTTAATTGTATTTATTATTTTTGTTTACTTTTTTATAATTATATTTGTTTACTTGCATGTTATGTGACCATTAACTGACAGAAACATGAGCATGCAAACGTGTTAAATTATTAAAATATTAACTTAATATCTCCTACAGTATTCCATGTAAAATTTAAGTCAAAGTGGTTAGGATGATGGAAAAATTTTGAAAGTCCCTGCTTTAGGGTATATTTAAGCCAAAAAAGAGATTTTATATTTCATTTTTTTTTTATTTAACTCCTGAAGGACAGACAAAAAAAAAACTGAAAAATGTAGTATGCACACATGAAAGCATGAATAATGACCTTAAAATTTTGGACTGTTGCTTATACAAAGCTGTCATTGGAATATAGTGCTTTTTTTTTTTTGATGCTTGACAGCCACTGGTCTCCATACAGTTTTGTTGCATGAAAAAAAGTGGCTTTTGGCTAAATTTGATATAAGATTAAATTCTTCCCATCTTTCTTTTCCCAGGTTCTTTGAAACAACTCCTTTAGCAAGCATATTAAACCGCTTCTCTTCTGATACCAATACGATAGATCAGGTATGATGTTACGATCCATCTGTGTGAGGCAATATTTTGTCCTTGGTTTACTAGGCATTTACAGCATTTAGCAATAGCTTTTAAATAACTGCATAGGAATGTTTCGGTCTCTCTATGTTTCAGCACATTCCCGCCACTCTGGAGTGTTTGAGTCGCTCCACGCTGCTGTGTGTATCAGCTCTGGGTGTGATCTCATACGTCACACCGGTTTTTCTCATCGTAGTCGTACCGCTGGCCATCGCCTGCTACTTCATCCAGAAATACTTCAGAGTCGCATCAAAGTAACTAGTCAGATTCATTTATCACAGGCTTTTATATGAAACTGTTTACTTCTCCATTGCAGTTGCAATGCTTTGTCCAGATTTGTTTTGCTTGATTTCATATTTATTTATTCTAGGAAAATGATTGATTTGACAAATTTAATCTCAATACTAGGGATACTGTAGTTCACCCAAAAATGAAATTCTATGATTATTTACTCACCGTCATGCCGCCCTGCTGTATGTGACTTTCTTTCTTCATATGAATATAAATGAAGATTTAAAAAAAAAAAATCCATCTTAAATAGTCCATATGATGCAATGGGCGCCCAAAAGTTGACACTCAAAAAAAGCACATACAGCCATTATGACAGTAATCCATATGACAATAGTGGATGAATCAATGTCTTCTGAAACACACCGACAGGTGTGTATAAGAAAAATATGAATGAAAATGTTTTTTTAAAACTATAAACCGTCCAACTGTCATACACGTGTTCAATAGAAAAGTTGTTGCGTTGTGAAGTTTACATGAAAAGTGGTGGTCCACAAATGCGTGTATAACAGTTGGATGGAAGCGATGGTTTATAGTTAAAAAAAACTATTACTTCTGCCCAACAGTCGTACATTCATTCACAATAGAGTCGAATTTTTGCTTGACAAACATTAGCATGTTGTGAAGTATGACGTAAGCATATTGTAAAGTGTGATGTGTAAAGTTGTTGTGAAGCTAAAGTGATGCACAAATAACTCCCTCTTCTTGCGCAAACTTGTGTTTGAGTTTACACTTGACGTAAACGTAAGTGCATAGTGAAGTGTTAGCATGTTATGAATCTCATTCGAAAACTGGTGCGGAAGCACAGAGAAACGTCCCTTCTTGCACAAACTTTACAATGCAACAAAAAATTTGGGTTTACATTTTGCGTAAATGTAAGCATGTCGTGAAGTGCAAGTGTGAAACTCATGCGAGAAGTGATGCGGAAGCACAGTGAAATACGTCATGTGAGCTTAGCGCTCTCTTGAACGCATGTACGACAGCAGGAAACAACGATTTATAGATAAAAAGTTTCGTAAGAGGGTCAAGTTTATGCTTGATGTCAGTTCTTTGTAAAGTATGATGTAAGCATGTGGTGAAGTGTGTATAAAACGTGTGAAGCTCACGCAGGAAATGATGTGGAAGCAAAGAGGAACATCACTTCTCGAGCGAGCTTCAATGCAACAACTTCTCAAGCGTAAACTTGACCCTCTCTTGAATGCATGTTGGCAGGAAGCCATGCTTTATAGTCAAGTTTATATTGATTCATCCACTGGGGTTGTATGGATTACTGTCATGATGGTTGTATGTACTTGTATGGACTCACAGAGATGGATTACGTTTCTAAAAATCTCCATTCGTGTCTGAAGAGAGAACGTCATATACATCTGGCATGAGGGTGAGTAAATGAGAGAATTTTCATATTTGGGTGACCTATTATTTAAAGGGCTTAATTCATTAATTAGCATTAGTCATTAATTACTCACCCTCATGTCGTTCCAAACCTGTAAGATCTTTGTTGATCTTCGGAACACAAATTAAGATATTTTCCGAAATCCGAGAGCTTTCTGACCCTCCATAGACAGCAAGGGAACTACCACGATCAACGCCCAGAAAGGGAGTAAGGACATCGTTAAAATAGTCCATGTGACATCAGTGGTTCAACCGTATTGTTATGAAGCTACGAGAATACCTTTTGTGTGCAAAGAAAACAACAATGATTTTATTCAACAATTTCTTCTCTCTCAAGTCAGACACACGTCTCTTTTCATTCACGACAGTACCACGATGCATGCGTGTGCATTCCTCTGCTCGAAAACAAGGCGCAACGCATGCGTCATGGTACTGTCGTGAACGAAAAGAGATGTGTCTGACACGAAAGAGAAGAAATTGTTGAATGAAGTCATAGTTGTTTTCTTTGCGCACAAAAATTCTTCTCATAGCTTCATAAATTACGGTTGAACCACTGATGTTATATGGGCTATTTTAATGATGTCCTTACTACGTTTCTGGGCCTTGAATGTGCCTTGAACGTGTCAGTTGCGTTGCTGTCTATGGAGGGTCAGAGAGCTCTTGGATTTCAACAAAAATATCTTAATTTGTGCTCCGAAGATGAACGAAGGTCTTATGGGTTTGGAACGACATGAGGGTGAGTAATTAATGACAGAATTTTTTTGGGGTGAACTATCCCTTTAAGCATTGAGATGTTTAGTTGAACTGACCTGTGTGTGTATTTGCAGAGATCTCCAGCAGCTGGAAGACAGCACACAGCTTCCTCTGCTCTCACACTTCTCTGAGACAGTAGAGGGGCTCACAACCATAAGAGCGTTCAGGTGCGCAGAACAACGTTCATCTGTTGATGGTGTCACTCTGGTTAAAAGCATCTGCTAAATGCCTTCCATTTAAACAGATTCTTCTGGTACTTTCCTTTCTTAGGTATGAGCCTAGATTCAGACAGAGACTTCTAGAGTTCACAGTAATTAAAATAGTTTATTATAAATATTGTAATAATACACAATTATTCATATTAAAGTATAAAATATGATTATATATAATTAAGTCAACTAAAAAAAACGTCTCTAGGTTACGCATGTAACCCTGGTACCCCGA